ATACTCAAGCACGTGTGATCGACAGCAAGTATCTCTCAAATTAAAATTTCTCTGATTTACGGCCAAAAAAAATTCAATACTGTTACTTTCAAAGGTTCATTATTGTAATCTAAAGTAATCACATTTCGTGCAGGTTTTTGTGCTCTGACGATGCCTGTTTGATGTTTCATCATGTAACTTCAAGGTTGCATTAGGCATTTCAGTCAGTAAAATTTTCTGCTTTAATGACAAACAAGTCTTTCGATTCCTAAACTAGAGCCGAATCTAAGGAGAGAAAGATGCAATTGTCTGGTTGCATTATACATTGCATCGCTTACTACGCAAGCCATAAATGTATATCACTCTCTTCTGTCCATTAAACCACATTTTATCCTTAGCAGAGCACCAAATTTCTTCCCTTAACAACTGCTCAGATTAATTACTTGGTCGATTCAGTAGACAACTAGTGAAATGACCTTTCCAGCAGGAATGATCCTTTGACAGACATTTGCATGTTCTGGCTTTGTTATCATCTCTTACTTCAAAAATGCAAGCTTTAATACAAATATATTTTATTATCCATATCCTAACTAATAGAAAAGTAAAACTCGATATTTCAGCCACATAATTGCTTAGCACGAAGTAGTGTCGAATGAAACATTGATGACATATTACAATGTAATTAGCAAAATATTACTAGCAAAACAAAATTGGCCGTTGAGAATATTTTGTTATTATTAATTAGTTCATTTAGTTATGGATCAATATTTTATTTGAATTACTGATATTTAGTTTGTTATTCTGTCTGGAACTGACGCGCAAATATTTGTGTTGATTTACACATAATATGATATTTTTATTTTACTACTCATTTCGTGATGTACTTTCTTCAATAATTTCAAGTATAAGAGATTGATTTTTGATTCACTGATTTGAAAGAAGTTAAATCTTGGTCTGGCTTAGAGATTTATTACATTTATTGTAACATGACATTGCTTAGAGAATGAATCAATCACATCTAAGGAACTATGAACTGAGAAGAATTAAAGAAAAATAAATGAATTTCATCTCTGAACATAAGACAAGTGAGTGACTGTAGAGGTCATGATCTATTCATTCATCCATTCGTGCGTATTCAGTTCCATTTCCATCCCCAACTGTGTACGGGATAATCATCGTGATGAAGATCGTGTTGGAAATGATGATACTGATACCATGGAAAGTGTCCGTGATAATGATAGTGGGCCGGATTCCAGAGACCATTCCAATCTTCATCCCACCAGCCTGAAGCTAACACGGAGATGGATGTCATCGTCACTATTAGTAGTGCTAGCAGCAATCGATGTGAGAGCATATCTAAATTGTAATATGGTGGTGATTAGTTGATTGATCAAATTTTTACAGAGGATAAAATAATGCAACTCACTTAGTTGCCTGACGAAAATGAAGACTTGTTGTTTGATTCAAGTTGATGTGGAAGTGATCCACAGGCCTCATTTATATATTCTGAACACAGTACTGAAACAGGCTTAAAATCTAGGACAGGAAGAGGCATTGTTAGCAAAGTTGCTAGCAAAATCATGTCGTTTTTTCAGCTCGCAAAAAATTGTCTCTCTGTTTTTTCTTCTCTTAACTACATAATTTCTTGACCTATTTACAATGCTTACTTCATTTTCAATGAATAACAAACATTTTTTTGTCAGCCTATTAATTTTTAGATGCAGAGTTTCTGTCCTGTAATTTCACTGTCACTTTATTGCTCTGAGCACTACTGCCTGAAGTTTCTCTCCTGTTGCTTGTAGCAGC